TTTAGTTAAGCACAAATGTGGTTTTTTATAAATAAATAAATAAATAAATAAATAAATAAATAAATAAATAAATAAATAAATAAATAAATAAAATCCCAGGGGAAAGCACTAAAAAAATAGAAATCCTCTTGCATTAGGAGTAAGGGGTGGGAGAAGGCTAGAGGGAGGAATTAAACTAAACCCAGAAATGCTAAAGAAATTTGTAGCAGCACCTAAAGGTGAAACAGAGAACTATAATCTCTCTTCCTACTTCAGAAGTTGGTGGGCTTTTTCTAAAACCTAATTGCAAATTTTTTTGTGAGCACATCTTGAGACCTGTGGCTCCAGGGGCAAGAAAGAGTCAATGAATGTCCCCACTGCAGGAAAGCCCGCCCCTTCCTGCCATTTCAGAGTTCTCCCCCTTGGGTATATTTTTCCAGGAAGTTCTTCTAATTAATCCAGGCAGCTGCCAAGCAGAAAGCAGGGAAATTCTCAGGTGCCTCCCAGGTTGAGCAGTAAGAATAGACAGCACCCACATCACATCAGCCAGGGCCTCCAATGTCAGCTGATCTCCAAGGTGCCAAGAAAGCCCAGACACCCTTCCCTCCACTGCCTCCTGTAGCAAACCCCCCCAAGCTCTGACTGCAGGCTTTTTGTTTTGAATGTTTTTATTGATTTTAGAGAAAGAGGAAGGGTGAGGGAGAGAGAGAGAAACATTGATGGGCTGCCTCCTGCCTGCCACCTACTGGGGATCAAACCCAAAACCCCAGCATGTGCTCTGACCAGGAGTTGAACCTGCGACCGCTTTGGGTGCATGAGACAAAGGTCAACCAACTGAGTCACACCCGCTGGGCCGATGACTGCAGTTTTAAAAATGAACAGGACTTGCCCTCGCCGTTTTGGTTCAGTGGTTAGAACGTCAGCCCATGGGCCAAAGGGTCCTGGGTTCGATTTCGGCCAAGGGCACATACCTCAGTTGCAGGCTCGGGCCGTGGTCAGGGTGAGAGAGGGAGGCAACCACTCGATGCATCTGTCTCTCTCTCTCTCCCACTCTCTCTGAAAAAAGCAATGGAAAAAATATCTTCAGGTTAGGATTAAAAATTAATTAATTAATTAATTAATTAAAAATAAAAATGAACAGGACTGGGTCTTGAACGCCAAAACTGAGACCATTTTAATGGCCAAGCTGCGGAGTCTGGAATCTGGTCCTGATGGTGAAGGACCCAATATCCAATGGAGTAGGGTGTTGACAAAACACAAGTCAGAGCAGTGGTCAGAAAAGAAAACCAGAACCATTTCCTGTTTATACTCTGAATTGTTTTAAATCCTTCAGTGAGTATATTACACACACATAGGTTTGGGGTCATTTGCCTGACCCCATGTCAGGGTCGTGACGTCATTTTCATCTGTATATACAGCTTTGCTGCGGAGACTGAGTTGTGCAAATAGACAACTCGCTGTTGGTTTTTCTAAGTAAACAAAGGCCAGGAGAAGAGGGGTGGGATGGCATCGGGTGTCTTACAAATATGAAAAGATTCAGAAACTTGGAAGGACATTCACAGAGGGAGGGGGAGGAGGGCAGGGACCTAGAAAGTGGGGGAGGGGAGAGAGGCAAACATCTTCCTTCAGAGACCGAGAATGCAGAAGAAGTTGCCAGATTCCAAAGATAAGAGACCACGTCACACAAAAAACAACCAAAAAAGAGGGCACGGGGAGACAAGCTGACATTTACTTACCAGAATGAAAAATGAAAAGAGTTTCTAACTGATCTGGCCATAAAAGGGACTGGCTTGGAAAACTGAGGCACAAAAATTAAGAGCATTAATTCCTGATTTCCAAGGAAGTAAAGATGCCTTCTCTTTCCAGTATCTTCAGTTCTGCCCTGCTTGTCTTTTTGTTGTTGTTGATAATCCTCACCTGAGGATATTTTTTCCATTGATTTTTAGAGAGAGTGGAAGAGAGGGAGGAAGAGAGAGATAGAAACACCTCGATTGGTTGCCTCCCACATGCACCCTGACCGGACCCGGGATCGAGCCTGCAACCTAGGTATATGCCCTTGACCCAGAATCCAACTCGAGACCCTTCAGCGCACAGGCTGATGCTCTAACCGCTGATCTACACCACCAGCCAGGGCACCTGCTTGTCTTTCTTATCACTAAGATAAGAAAGGGCTTGATCGTAAGCCCCTGTTGGGGTGCATGCAGGAGGCAACCAATCAATCTCTCTCTCCCTCTCTCCCTCTCTCCCTCTCTCTCTCTCTCTCCCTCTCCCCCCACCCCTCCACTCTCTCTGGAAAGCAATGGAAAAAATATCCTCAAGTGAGGATAAAAAATAAAAAAATAATAATAAAAGGCTTGGGTGTGTTACTGTAGTTAGCTAGATATTAATGAGAAAAAAGACAGCAAGGGAAGTCCGACACTGCCCGAAGGAACATGAAGCAGAAACCCTGGATGCTGGCCTTTGTCTTGGCCTTGCTGAAAACATGGTTGGGCTTTTTCCACAGTGGGTGGGGTCAGAGGGAGCAGGGACTCTGGAGAACCAGGAGGGGCGCTCCTTTGATTTTGCATCTCGCATTAACCCAGCCACACCGCACTCTCCTGAAATGCTTTCTCCTTGGGATCCTGTGGGAGAGCCTGTTTTCCACCCACAGCAGTAGTAATTATTTCAGGATCTCTCAGTACCACTCGGCTCTGCCCTGTAGGGTAGACAATGCGTAAACAAGTGGCTGTGGCTGTGTTTAATAAAACTGTATTTACAAAAACAGGTGGCAGATGGATTTGACCTTCAGGCTATAATCTGCCAACCCCTGTCCAGTACCCCTGTTTACTGCCCAATACTCGGAAGGTATTTCTGCCCCATTTCTGTGACCTCTTGTTACACAAGGTCATGCACAAGTCTCTAAAGGACTAGGCCAGTGGGGAGCCCTGGGCCCTCCACCAGCAAATCCAGCCCCCAGTGAGGCCACGTCCAGCCCCTGTCTGCACAGCCTGTATTATACTCAGGTGAAGGTGGGTCTCTGGGCAAGGCTGCTTTAAGACCAGTTCTTCCCCTGTGGGTTGGCTAAGTAATGAAACCTGCTGCCCAGAGATTCCAGAATCACACTGGAGATGCAAGGCTTCTTGCTGTGTTGGACTCGGAGGGGTGGGGGTGGAGGAGGGACCAGAATCACTGTCACATCTTAATTCTACACACCATACCTGCTCTCCTACCCTTCAGAAATGCTTACACTCTATATTTATATGTACATCTATGTGTAAAGAGAATGAAAAAAGTAAAAAGCAGACTGATCGTATCATTTGCAATGAAAGTGAAGGATGGTAATAGGTGTGTATGTGCAAAGAGAACCAACACTGATTACTGCCAGGGAGGGAGGGAGAGAGAGGAGAGAGAGAGAAGGAGGGAAGAAGGAAAGGAGGGAAGGAGGGAAAGAGGAGAGAGAAATGAAGGAAGAAAAAGAAAAGAGGGAAGAAAGAGAGAGGGAGGGAAGAAAGAAGGCGGGAGGAAGGGAGTTGGGGGAAATCTTGTTTCATGCTTCACATAGTTCTGTAACTCCCACAGGTCAAGGTCATAGACGCTCAAAGACAATCTCAGTGGTAAAAGCACTCTGAGTACATGAGAGTTATTTTCACCTTGCCTTGAATGTCACAGAAAGCAGCTTGGCCAGGTGGGATACAGAGCAGAACGTAATTCATTTTCGTCTTATTGGGACCTTGTTTGCATGTCCTAGATCAGCCCTCATGTCACTCCCCAAATATCCACACAGAAAAAGGCCTCTCTGGGCACACTGCGGGTTTAAACAAAGAGAGACCGGTGTCTTTTTTCTTTTAAAATATTTGTTGTGATTGTTTCTGTTTAATCAGCATTCACTGAATTGAGGACACACAGTGAGGATGGCGGGGAGAGGAGGAGGGGCTGGACAGTGGCCAAAGGAGAGGCAAGTGTGAGGGACAGGGCGGTGAGGGGCCCTGGAAGAGAGCATTGTGGTCACCACAGGCCCTGGGCTACTCTGGAGGGACATGCAGGCGGG